ATGAATATGTTTCTTAACACACTTTAAAAAATGCACTTTGTAATGTTACATTTTAAATCATTGTTTTAATATTTTGTTGAGTTTGATGTGTTGACTAATATACTGAAGCACATGTAAAATGTAAAAATTTTAGTTCATAAACACATTATTGTTACACATAATTATTGTTATTATGCTAATTCTAAAACTAAAGATATACTTAAGTCCTGATTAAGTGTGCCAAAAAAACAAACCAACTAACTAACGTTCAGCTAACTGCATTTGTTATAAATCAAACTATAATACCTTTGTATTTAATTGCAAATAACATGTCATTAAGTGTCTGGAAACATTATATTTACTTAATTACACTTTTTAAAAATGCTACAGTATACTTCTTTTTCACAAGGGTCCCTTTTGTCATGAATTTGCATATTTATCATGATAAGAGGTGACAGCAACATAAAGGAGGAGTAGTTTTTTGAAGCAGAAATGATTTGCATGGTAGTACGATTAAAGCTCATGTACCTATGCTAGAGGTGTAGTCAGTTGCTCCAAAGATGAGTTCGGGGGCTCTGTAGTACCGTGAGCATATGTAGGAAACATTGGGCTCCCCACGTACTAACTGCTTAGCACTGCGAACAAAAAGACAGATTGAACAATCTCTGATCACACACATCACCATTTCATTCAAATATTCTGCCTTGTGGAGCTTATTGGCAGGATAAACCCCTAAAAGTAACTCTAAATGGCAAATGAGCTAAGAGATCTAAAGTGACCTGAAAGCTAAAGACGGTTTCTTTGTTTAGATGGTAAGCGAGTTGCTAACATTTTAAAAGCATCTCAAGGCTGCTTGCAGTGTACATGAAGACTGCTGCTAATCTGTGTCCTCATTCAAGGAAAATTTGCATTATTTTTGTCTAGTCCTCAGTATAAGGTATTCATTAACAAGAGGCAAAATCGCATGCCCTAGTTTTCAGATGCAAGGCAAAGGAGAAATGGATACCCAAATATCACTTCAACTAAAATCTTCACTAGTGTTCTTAGGCAGACAAATGTGAAAAGCACAGAGGTCAGCACAGATATCTCCGAGCATAGCGAGACCATCTGGAGGCCTCTGGTAAGGTGTACTATGGGATTTTCAGGTTAAATGCAGTAAAGCGTTGCTTTCGGACCTTTGAAAGGTTATCAGAAAACCATTGTCTCCTATGAATTGGCTATCAAGAGATTACCAACTGACCTGCCAAAGTCACAGAGTTTGAGCACGGCTGTGTCTGGGTCCAGCAAAAGATTCTGCGGTTTGATGTCTCGATGGCAGATCCCAAAGGAATGGATGTAGGCCAGACTCCTGAAGAGCTGGTACATGTACAACTGTAAAGTAAATATACACAAGTCATGAGGTTAGCAAAGCGGTCATAAAAACAGGTCACAAAAAAGGTACCCTAAAAATGCATAATATAATTTAGTTTTTTTATATTGCTTGTAATATCAAATGATTTACTGAAACTCTAATGATAATTCTCCAGATCTGTTGTTTCAAATCCAAAATTACTTTCTTTTGTCCATGGAACACAAAAGGTGAATCCATATAATGAAAGTGAAAGTGAAAATGACTTAAAAACCACCACAGTACTTTTTAAGGGTCATAAAAGTGTTCTATTTGACTATTCTGAAGTAATATGGCAAATATGGCACCACTGATATTAATGGCATTTTATCATATCCATTTGTCCATTTTTGGAGAGGGGAAGATTATCAGAGAATAATGATTTTTGATCTGTTCATTACCAAGACTTGGAATATGGTTCATGAGTCATATGGAGTACTTTTATGCCTCTCTTATGGTGGTGAGTCCCTAGTCCACATTCACATTAATTATATGCAAAGATGTGGCCACAAAATTCTTCAAAAATACACCTTTTTTGTTCCACAAATAAAATAATGTAAATAGGTTGTGTACTGGTATTTCCCTTACCATTATGTTTTTCCTTACATAATGGCACAAAAATAATGACACTTGTTTAATGAAATATTCATTGAAAATTATTATTTTTTTAATAATAATTAAAATATTGTATATTCTTCATAAAAATTCCCATGGAGGAATTCCCATTTACATGACGTTACATTACATTTAGAAATCACACTTAATTTTAAAAAATAAAAATTCTGTCATTAATTACTCACCCTCAAGTCGTTCCAAACCCGTTCATTTTCAGAACACAAATGAATGATATTCATCAATATTTCTGATGAAATCCGAGAGCTTTCTGACCCTCCATAGAGGGCGATGCAACTGACATGTTCAAGACCCAGAAAAGGTAGTAAGGACATCGTTAAAATAGTCCATGTGACATCAGTGGTTCAACCGTAATTTTATGAAGCTACGCAAAGAAAGCTGCGCAAAGAAAACAAAAATAACTTTATTCAACAATATATTTTCTTCCGTGTCAGTCTTCGACGTGCGTTCACGAGAGTATAGTAGAATCTGCATGTGTCATGGTACTCTTTTTTTTGTGCTTGCTTTCTGCATAAAAAGTAATCTTGTAGCTTTATAATCTTATAGCTTTATAAAATTAAGGTTGAACCCCTGATGTCACATGGACTATTTTAACGATGCCTTTACTACCTTTCTGTGTCTTGAACGTGTCAGTTGCATTGCTCTCTATGCAGGGTCTGAAAACTCTCGGATTTCATCAAAAATATCTCAATTTGTGTTCCGAAGATGAACAAAAGTCTTGCGGGTTTGGAACGACATGAGCGTGAGTAATTAATGACAGAATTTAAATTTTTGGGTGAACTATCCCTTTAAATGTTTGTTTTGCCCTTAATAATTTTAAGTAATCCTGATGTCCTCTTTAATGTGAGCTGAGACCCCCTGGTTGAGAACCACTAATTTAACTTCTAAGTGGAAAGTTTTCACATATAATTGTATCTTTACATATGTTTACGTATGTGTGTGTTTGACTATTTATGTCGCATCCTGCCAATAGCAGGAAGGATATAGCTCAGGACGCGGCACAAAGCAGTGATGATGCCATCACAGCAGTCAAGACACTGGTGACGCAAAACCGCACAGGAGGAGGGGGAAGAAACGCCAACACACACTCGGCTGACCCGTATACTCACCAGCGGGAACAAAACCTAAGGTTTTTATTCAGGATGTACACATCACTCACACAAGCACACATTAGGAACAATCCGCACCTTCACATAAACCATGGGAAGGGTCTGCTTAGCGCGGCTGTAGTGTCTCGCCACTCTGTAGACGGTCTCAGGGACGTAGTCCAGAACCAAATTCAGATACACCTCATCCTTCTGTGGACAGAGAACAAGAAAGCAAATACTTTAAGTCACAGAGTTAAAAGTGTCAGGCTTTATAGCACATACATATATAACTTCAGTGAATCTATATATAAAACCAGCTCAGTATGAAAGAGGATAATGACTCTGAGTCAATGTCTATGCTAAAAATGTCTTATACGCCACATCCCTCCATATATCTCCATGACTGAACAACCAACTTGCGAACCGTAAAAAAAGCTGCGACACAAAAACAGTCAATTCTCTGGCATGATGTCATTGTGGACGTTGACTGCCATGCATTGTGTGGAACCGTGCCTGAAAGCGAGCGATGATTGCGCCCATCACCTTTACATAACATACATGCTCAGACGTTGAAGTCATATCCTCCTGAAGAACTAAAGGAAAGGAAGAGCTCAATAGGGTGGCCTACAGGGCCACTCTGACCCCACGTCTGATGTCACATCCTGTCTATTATGCCCTTCTTCCTTCCTCCACAAGTTCAGCTGTGAGAGAGTCTATTTCTGCTGGATCTGACATTCCTGAGCTCATTTACTTGAGTCAAACCAACCAACTCTGCTACACTTGTCAAGATACTTCAATATAAGAATAACTAAGATATCCTAATATAAAAGATATAAAGATAGATACAAAATATAAAGGGACTATTTCACCCTTTACGCATATAACTTTATTTTGTTGAATAAATGTACCATAATGTGGTCATTTTGTCATTTTAGCTTGTCTTTTTTTTTAATGTAAAATATGTAAAACAGCACTCCAAAAGTTTTGCTATGTATCTTCTTTGGTGTTTCACCAGAGCAAGAAATGTTTGAAAGGAAGGTGAGCAAATGATTACATTTGGTAAACTATTCCTTTATTAATATCTGGGTCAAATCTGAAAAATAATTACTAGCAACATAAGTAGTAAAATAAATAAATAGAAGTTACTCTGATAAAAGCATGAAGATACTTAAATATGAGATGCATAAATATGAAACATATAACAATATATAAAAGATAGAAAATGTATAAGATATGAACTATAAAGGGATTATTTCAACCAAATGAAAAAGAAAAATAATTTTCATGACATATAACATTCTTCTGTTGAAAAAAAAATAAATAATAATGGTACCATAATGTGGTCATATTTTATTTTTATTTTTCATTTTTCGAGTTCTACATTGTTTTTTGACATCTACATTTTTCACTGATATAACTTTCTTTGGTTGAATAAATGAAATAAAAATAATAGAAGTACCATCATTTGGTCATTGTAGTCATTTTAGCTTGCCTTTTTTGTGTTTGTGTATGTTTTGTGTTTCACAACAGCATGAAAATCATAAGGTTTGGAGCAACATGAGGGTGAGTAAATGATGACAAGCTTTAGTTTTTATAAACTATTCCTGCATTAAATTTGAAAAGTATCAATAAATATATAAATTAATTAAAGATGACATATTATGCCCCTTTTTACAATATGTAATATAAGTCTCTGGTGTCCCCAGAATGTGTCTGTGAAGTTTCAGCTCAAAATACTCCACATAATATTTATTATAACATTTTGCAAATGCTTATTTTGAGTGGAAGCAGAAACACGCTGTTTTTCGGGCCTGTGTCTTTAAATGCAAATGAGCTGCTGCTCCCCGCCCCCTTTTCCAGAATAGAGCTAGCCATTATATCTGGACTGGTACCTGCTGAAAAACATCTGTTTTGGTTCTGATGATCATGTTTTTTACACTGAAATCATGCGTTTTAAACCATATGAGTTTAAACTTCAGATATAAGGTTTTCTGAGCGCACACATCTGAAGCACACGGACAGAAAGCGGCTGTCACAGCATGTGAGTACTAAGTTTAAGTTAAAAACACATGAGTTACAAAAACAGTCGGTTATGTCTGTGAACAGCTGGGAAATAAATCGCTTGTTTATTTTAGATCTGTGTGGCAGCAGCAATATACAGTAGCCTAAATAAATCAATAAATCCACTGCTCTCTTGTGTCCTCTGAGGCTGGGACTCTAAATAGTGTTCTGTGCAGCCAAAGACTGAACAGTTAGCATGTTTGCTCAAACTTTCGGCATGGCATTAGAACTGGTACACCGTTGTCGCTTGCGGAATCAAAATGACAGCGCCGTGGGTGGAAATTTACAGATTAAGGGGCAGTAATATTATAATGAGATCCCTTTGCCACGTCACCAAGGGAGCGAAATCAGATGCGCTCGTTTTCTCAGACGCTTGCAGAAAAAGGCTTACTAAAACAACATGATTGGGTTAATCTTTTTCACATTTCCTTGGTTGGTAGATGCACCGGAGACCTGATTATAGCACTTAAGACCTGGAAAAGTCAAATTTTCATGATATGTCACCTTTAATTAATTAAAAATATATAAGAATATATACATATACAAGTTATAAGCAACAAACTATTCAGTGATTGCTGTTCTTCACGAAGACAGAACACGCAATGAATCAGTCAGTGCCACTGTTTCTCTCTAAGTCGTTTTTCTTTCTCCGCTTTGACTCTGATTGATAAGTAGTCTCTAATAATTGATTTCCTAAAAAACCCAAACCACCCTTTGACTGTGCTGTGCAGCTAAAATTAGTCGTAGCGATGACTCACTCTCCGCCTCACTACAGCAACAGCATCACTTCCTCAATTACAGCCGATCGGAGAAGCTCTGAGGCGAATGGCTCCTGAGATGCTCCCATCAGATTACAGGGCCATGTGATTGGCTGCTGCTCTGTGGCCACATGACATTGTGGGCATGTGATTGGGTGATCTGTGGCTCACGGCACAGTAGTCAACGTCTCCCTCAGTGAGGGAGCCACAGGTAGACACTCATCTGTCCCCAGGCCCTGCTATAACAGTATCTTCCGCAAACAGCTCCTGTCAGAGCCAAACACACAGGGAGGTGACGCTATATGCACTAACTGAAGATACATTCTAACTACATACATGTGAAGTGTGTCTAGTGAAACTCCAGCCCGGTTTGGAAAACAGTGCCGCCCCAATCATTGATCTTTTGGAATGAAAATAAATTATTCTGGATCTGAATCTGATTCCACTTAACGATTCTGTTTCCTTAGTGAGTCAACTAACGATTCTTTTAGTCCTTAGTCTTTAAGAAGTGGGTTGTAAAGACTAAACATAACTCCTAAACAGTGCTATTATTGTTAACTTATTCTATTGCTATTTTTATTACCTTTTCTCATCAACTGATTCATTAGACTGATCAAACCGAAAATTCAGTAAACAGGGAATCAAGACAGCTTCGCCTGATTCAATACATGGAACTTGTTCATAAGAGTCATTTGTTCAAGAATCAAACTACAAACAAATGTGACCCTTGAGCACAAAACCAGTCTTAAGTCGCAGGGGTATATTTGTAGCAATAGCCAAAAATACATTGTATGGGTCACAATGATCGATTTTTCTTTTATGCCAGAAATCAGGATATTAAGTAAAGATCATGTTCCAGGAAGATATTTTGTAAATTTCTTACCGTAAATATATCAAAACTTTATTTCTGATTAGTAATATGCATTGCTAGGGTCTTCATTTGGACAACTTTAAATGTGATTTTCTCAATATTTTGTTTTGGCACAAAAATAGGAAGAGAGAGCATCTCAGCCAAATATTGTCCTATCCTAACAAACCATACATCAATGGAAAGCTTATTTATTCAGCTTTCATATGATGTATAAATCTCAATTTCGAAAAATTTACCCGTATGCATTTATTTGAATAAAAATACAATAAAAAACAGAACAGTAAAATGTTATTACAATTTAAAATAACTATTTTCTATTTGAATTTATTTTAAAATGTAGGCCTAATTTATTCCTGTGATGCAAAGCTGAATTTTTAGCATAATTTCTCCAGTCTTCAGTGTCACATGATCCTTCAGAAACCATTATAATTTGCTGATTTGCTGCTCAAGATACATTCAATGTTGAATACATTTGTGCTGCTTATTTTTGTGGAAACTGATACTTTTGTCAGAATTCTTTAATAAATGGAAGTAAAAAAGAGAATTAATTTAAATTTAATTTTTTTGTAACATTATAAATGTCTTTATTGTCAGTCAATTCAATGCATCCTCTGTGATTATCAGAAGAAGAAAAAAAAAAGTACTTCCCCCCCCAAACTTTTGGACAGTAAGTTTGAAGAAATGCAAAATTCTTCATAACTGTAGTATGTGAATAAATCTATTTATTTCACAGAAATACAGAAGTCCATGTAGCATATTCAAGAGCCCTTCTCTCTCTACCACTCTCTCTCTTCCTATTTTTGTCCGAGTCGTCTATGTAGATGTATTTTTTGACTCATCCGTGTCTTGTGTGGCTCCTCTGTGAGGAAAAATCAGTGGCCACTAAGTATGGCAGAGAGAGATTATGGGTAACGGCTGGTGGTTGTCGAGGCCCAGCATCTCCTCATGTGTCAGTACCTCTCTGAAGACTCTGTAACACCATCTCCTACACCATTCATAAATAGATGGCTTTAATATGTTCTGTCGGTTAAGCTCAAAGCAATCAGCTGAATGTGCTAACATATGCACACTAATACCACACACACACATTTCTATTTGAAAACCTAGTGACCTGCTGTAGGCAGCATTTTAAAGCATAAAAAGCACTCCAGACATAAAGGCTGTTTCAAAAGACATTCAGCATAAATGTTGCCTTCTGAGATGCATTCTTTTTTCACAATGTACCTAATGTTCCATAAACTGAGATAAATGTGATTAATCATTCACTACTAAACATTATCAATAAAAAACGTAATCTAATAAAAATTTGACTATTTTACCAAACTTGTTTTTTTCTTGTTACAGCATTTCATAAAACTGAGTAATTTCTTAAACATTTTACATGATCATTTGTACGATTCAGTTTCAGATCACTCAATTTCAAATCACTTCTTGCAGAATCCAAAATATTTGGCAAATGTGAGTAAAAATGTGAGTAAAAATCCCATTTAAAATGGTTTCAAATTCAAACCATCTATATT